AAAATAGACGATAAACAGTTTATGCTTATGGACGGGGCTCTGATTGACAAAGTCTGTGGTGACCTGTCAATCAAGCTACAGTGACTCTATCTACTGCACTGTAACATTTGAGCCCCGACATAAGAAAAACCTCATTAGGAGTCGGCTGTTAATATTTTCCGGTTTAGTACATTTTGTTTTAGGCAAAAAATAGCGTCCTGATTGCAGCAGGGTTTAGCTCAAACAGTGGCACGGCAGCTCACAGTGGCATTTCTGATGAAGGTGGAGATGCCAGCGATTTTTCCTGAGTGCCACGGCATCTTTTCACCGTTTATTATGGTATTTCAGGGCAGTCTAGGAATGCCAAGGCACCTGCCGCTGTACGGGTTGCCGGTTCACCCGTAAGATGCCATGCACTTTTCGCCGATTATGAGGTATAACGGTGGCAAACAAGTGCTGTGTCCAAATCACCCACTACTCTCCTATTGCCTACTAACAACCATTATGTACCACCAAAGGCAGTGTACTGTAGGAAAGGATTTTCCGACTGCGCTTGCCAGCTGTTTGTAATCTTGCAAGGAGAATTAAATAGGATCGCGGAAGTTACGGTGGGAAACTTAATTGTTGCCATTATTTCTGATGGATACTGGGCCTTTCCTTTTATCCCAGTGGAAGTCGCCTCGCTTGCTGGCTGCTGGAAAGAATGCAGGCTTACTCCTGCACTCCAATTGGGCTTCGTCCTTAAGGTTTGCCCGTCTGTGACCTTAAAGTTGTATTCTGTGAGTTTAAAATTCAGTTGAGAAAACGACGAGCGAGGAGATGAGCGATTCTGAATTTGATTGAGCGAGTCGAATTGAATTTAGAAGAATTTGAATTTGAATTTTAGAGATTAAATTGAATTAGAGATTTGAATTTGAATTTAGAGATTTGAATTTGAATTGAGGCGATCTGAATTTGTATTGAGCGATCTGAATTTGAATTAGAGATTTGAATTTGAATTAGAGAATCTGAATTTGAAAAGTACATAAAAAGTTGAATTTTAGTGAGGCTGAAATTCAGTTTCAACACTAATAAATTCCAGAATTTCAAATCCATCCCTAGTTCAGATCAGTTAAAAAATACAAGATTCAATTTATGCAATTCAAAGTCAGGTCTTTTAAATGCAATTATTCCAAGTTTGGGCAAATTTCAGAATTCAAGCTCTAAATAATCAAATATCAGTTTCTACTGACACAAATATCAGCCCCATATAACATGACAACATTTTTAGCAAATTATTGTTTTGCAGATTATACCATGCCAAGCAGTGCTTTTTTTTCCCCTATTATTAACGTTCAACGACATTCAAGAAATTTTGAATGTGCTGTAATTTGAACGCAAGAAATGAGCCATTCTGGTTTAAGGCCCAATAAAACCTCACCTTGCATCAGTTTCAACGAAACTTGTTGCTGCTACCATTAACCCATAAAGAGATGACCCGGCACCAGGGAGTCCCTTCCGCTTGCTTTGTGAATTGTTCTTTGTCAGACCATAAGAATGTTTCTCCTGTGGACAAAGTAACAAACCTGGAACGTTCTGGGTTTGAATTGGCCATTTAAGTTGACAAAGATATATAGAGTAGATATACAATCACATTATTTTTGTATTGAAATATAATTACAAAATGGACAGGATATGATACATTACAATATATGAAGTGGCATATTTGTCACCACAGTCTTTACTCAAATATACATACAGTAAGTTACAGTACAATACAAAAGTCCTGGTTTCTTGAGGATACAGAGTAAGAATTCAATGGTAAACTACAGGACCCAATACCTTTTCATGTGAACCACATGTATAATATGAATTAAGTCCATGTTGAGGTATTTTCATAATTCTTTTTATTCTTTCTTCTATATTACAACACTCACTCAGTGTCCACTGTTCACCTGTAAGCAGTGTCTTGTCTTCAGTCATTTTCGAACCACCTGCAGCATTTCCTCCACAGTCAGGAGTTTTTCTCTGGGTTTTCCGGCAGCTTCGCCCCTACTCATCTCCACACTGTCAATCTTCTCCCAGTCAAGGAAAATCACTGGTTTCACTCCTACAGAAGATAAAATATAAACCACATTTGGCGATAGCTTAATACCATTTTTTTTAAAGAACACCTTGTGACCAAACCAGTAACATACATTTCACTTAATGAAGTGTAATGGATTCTTGTTGAATAGTTAATATAAAGAGATAAGGAGATAAGTGATGGCACTGTGTAATGGCGCTGTGCTATAATATCACAAGAAACAATTATTACTAAATTTGCAGTGAACCAATAGAACAATCACATTCTTTTAGCTTTAAATCAGTCTGATGTGGGGAGGCATGACACATTGTCCTTTCTGTTGGAAACTTGTGTCTGTCAGTTATAGAGAGAGTGATGTGTTGACATTTGCTGTGACAGTATCAAGGGTAGAACAGAGTCATTATGTAAAGAGAAAGATTTACTGTTTTTAAAATTATGATAATAGCTGTAACATAGTCAACCACCACATTTAGTCCAAACCTACATACTATTAGGCTGTGGATTCGGACTCTCAAAATGTTTGCAACATAGGTGTGGTCCCAGGTCAGATAACATGACTCGGAGGCATAACGAACGTGATGAAAAAAGCAAATGGACAGTAGAGTACCTCTCTTTTCCAGCAGGCCACTGATGCTTTGTGAACCAGGCTTGGCAGCAGATATATCCAATGTTCCTGAGTCCATGTCCTCCACCAAGGATCGTGCAGTGTCAAAACTATTGTTCATAGTGGTGGCTATCACCCCAGTGGGGCCTGTCTTCAGCCAGCCACTACAATATAGACCTGGAAAGAAAGATGGATTCATTAATGTTTTTCAGTTAAAGGTTTTATCTTGTTAAGTGGTCTTGATTTTGTACAGGACAACATTAACAATAAATATATGATTACTTGTCCCAGAATGTGTGCTAAAACAAAAGGGTGGCATTTTCTTGCAAACCTATGGCAGTTGACTGTCTATTATCACACCCAGTAATTTAACCTCATCCACCTGATGTCCTTTTGGTCTATACCTGCAGCTTGTTGAACACGGCCCATGCTGTTTGGGACGATGGCTTTGCGGGAGTCAAATGGCACTGATGGATCGATAGGGAGGCTCTTGTAGCCTATACTGCTAATGACCAGGCCACAGCTCACATCCTCCACTTCTCCAGTGAGCACTGCCCGGGCTCCGTCACCTGAACCCTGGTCACACAGAGGTAACCAACTTTAACTAAGTCAACGTATGAAGAAGCTCCACATGGCTACGCGAAGGACTTCTTGAGTTTTGAAATCCAAAACTGGGTTACCTCCAGCTTGTTGACCGCCAGCCGGATGCCAGCTGTTCGCTTGTTGTCAAGATCAGCCAGGATTTCAATCGGGCTTCGGAAGAACCGGAAGGACCAGACGCGGGAGGCATTGTTCTGCCTCTCCTGCTCCTTCTCCCCTGGGATCTCCATCGCTGTCTTCAATAACAGCTCTGTCAGACGCTTCCTAGGCCTCGGCAAATCTGACAGAGCAAGGATACTTATCAGGGTTGAGCGAGTACTTGGCTGAAACAAGTTTCCAGTTAATACTTGTTTACAGACAATGTACTTTTTTATGGGTACGAGTATCATCAGAGTAAAGTGTATCAATATCACTACTTGGACATATGGCAACTTTTATTAAAAACAAAAAACTGTAAATAGTTGTGATCAAAAACATTGCTCTGAAGCTCAGTTCAGAGGCTGTTCTCTAAATAGTTTTCTAATAAATATAGCATCTTTTGATTAATCCATATCAATTTCAGGCTTAAATGAACAACTTCCAGTTAGACCTGCGCATTACCGATTCAAGTGCACCCACATCTGGCATAAGCACTGCCCATTGAAGATACAGATGTGAATACACCTCATTTAGTTGGTTGAATAGATACAGATACAGATCAGGTGTAAGCAGTCATTTGTAATACTTAAAATGAGCATCTGTCGATCATTTGTGACCCCAACATTTAAAGTAATTACAAGTCTCCTAGCTGAAAGTATGATCATGTGGCCTTATCATGTGTGGAAAAAGTGTGTGGCTGTATGTGTGAATACGTGTGCATATGTGCAAACATGTACACCAAATTCCAGTAATCAAAAACTCATACAAGGACCTATACACCCACACTACTGAAAATGTCTACACTCTGCTGTGAAATCTTGATGAAAAATGTTCATTTCATGTCATTGGCCTTTCAACATTTCCTGTAAGTCAATTATTTTTGATGTACTGCTGTAACCACGACAGTACACGTTTAGAGGCACAAAAAAGACGCAAACCACAAGTTTCTAAAAAGATGCATCACTTACTGCTTATCGTGTTTAACAGAGATGAGATCAGGGTTCTCATAATTAGCCATGAACAGAGGCAAGGAGACTGTTATCACTTAAATTTGGAACATCAGTCAGCTCAATGTCATCGCTGCAGCAAGGACTCACTGAAGGTCATCAGGACGGGGACGGCATATGGTCTTGCATATGTTTTTTCAGCAGAAAATCCTGGGACTACAGCTCATCTAACACCAGCTGTCTTTACCTCTTAACAGTTTCCACTCAGCTCATAGTATATGGGCTATACTCGGTCTCAATAGCGCATGTTCCGGTGCTTAACCACAACATATAGTTCTTCCTTCCTTGTGACATTTTCAACAGTCTCTGCATTAAGTTGTATCTCTGTTGAACTTATACTGTCAACATATGTTGTTTTGCATATTCTGTATTGCTATTTTGGCTCTCTCTTTGACTCTTATTCTGTATTCTATAAGTATGTTACTGTATGTAGCCTATTGGGCAGCCTTGACTCAAAATCTGAGATGTCCTCATTCTTAGGCCCTGGTGTCAACTGAAAAATGAAGAATGCAGCGCAAACTGATGGCAGAAAAATACCAAGATACAATTCAATTTCTTACCTTTAACAGCGTCTTTGACACCCTCAAAATCAGCCGCCACCATCTCAGGTCTGGTGTCTGGCAGGTTCACCATTTCTCTGACCTCCTGTAGACAAGGAGAACACAGCAGGAATGGCAAGGCTGCACAAGAAAATCATTGAAAGCTGGTGGAAGGTGTCTCTCTTAGTGAATGACTATGGCGAGTTTAAAAGAGAATTCTGGTTTACTACAACTAGGGTTTTACTTTCTTAGTTTTGGCTAACACTTCAATCGGTTGTGGTAACACTGTACTTGCCACAGTAATTGTTGAGATATGAAATATCACATTGCAAAAACGTGTGCGACAGCCAAACAGGATGATTGATTGACTGATTTGAAAATGTATGATTTATATACAGACTGGTGACAAATTAAAGGAAAAAACTTAATAAATGAGGCATGTGCAGTATAAAAATACTGAGCAGGCCCAGTGGATTCTGATTTTATCAGAGGGATATTATAGTAGGGTGCATAAACCCCTCTTATTACAAAGATGACTGCATATTTAAGAGTAGGGCTGCCCCCTAATAGCAGACTAAACCATTTAACTGTATGGGAATAGCCTTAGTCGACCTATTTTTCCTTAGCCGGATAGTAGCATTAAAACAAAAACAACATTAAACTCAGTTCAGGAGCTGCACCTTGTCTATGAGGGGATTGCTGAAACACGGACACAGAAAGTCACTTTCCGGTGCACTGCTGCATGTGTTAACTGTAGCAGTCCTATTAGCTGACTGTACCCAGACTGTGAGCTCCACATACCGTGGGAGGTTTGTTTACACCACAAGTGCAGGAGCTTTGAACTGTGGGAGGAGGAGGTTCTCAGGCCCAGGGTAGGGGGGCCCAGCAAGGAATGCAGCCAGGGAGGCCCGAATGAGCACCAGAACCAGAGCTGGGGAGGGCAGGTGATTTACAGTGGCTCTGAACAGGACTATGACTTCGGGATGAAGACACAGTGGGTTCAGGCAGGGACAGTTGGGAAGTAAACACATGAAACATTTGAAACAGGCTGAGTTGATGAACTTGCACTTGAAATTTGTGTAATAATTCCTCATTGCACAACTACAGTAAGTAAGGTAGGTCAAAGCTGAACCAGGAAGTCAGTCTGTAAAGTGTGATGGATGTTGTGGAAACTTTGAGTAATGTTTATCCTTTGCCCTTGCTTTCCTTTTCTCTAATAAGTAACCTGAAGGCTTAACTGCTTGTGTTTTTTTTTTATTTCTAACGATGGCGGGTTCCCAGATCTTAACAACAATTTAACAAGTTATCCTTTAAACTGGCTTGAACTTAAGTTTAATAATTAAATTGTGGAGTGATGACGAAGAAAAAGAGCAGTTTTATGTGTAATGTTGAATAGAATAAAGCTAAATATCAGTTTTTAATCACACATACCTTGATTGTGCAAGCGATCTGTACGGGTCCTCTCCTGCCAACTATCAGTACCCTGCGGACATGGCTCTCTGCCAGAGCCTCCAAGGCTGGCTGGGTAATATCAGTCTTCTGCAGAAAACAAGAGATATTTCCCATTCATATGTGCTGTTATTTTTGTTATTTATGTATGTCCTTAATTATGTGAAACTTTGAGCTTTGCCAATTTAAAAACAAGCTGTCGGTATGATGAAATAATTGCTCTGTTGGTGAATGGAAAGTTGTGTAGGCGGCACTTGTTTCCTTGTCTAAACATGCACACAGCTCAAATCAGTCACAAATCAGTTATGGGTATTCAAAACAAACCACACCATCTTCATTATTTACACGCACACACCTGTCAGTGCACATTACACTTTCCAGTTTTCTTTGGGTCACTGGTTGTTCAGATATGTTTATATACTATATACACTCCAGATTCCTAGAGACACATTTAACATTTGATCAATTCACCACAGACATGGTGTTTCACTTTTTCAAGTGTGTGTTTCTGTAACGGCTTTGCCCAATTTCATAGATTTTTCCACACAAATTCAGTAGTCTGTACACAGAACACCAAAAAATTTAAAAAAAACATTTGCATCTCCCAAAATTTGGATTGGGAGATAAAAAGTTTACCACTTTGTGATCTGTCAAGGGCAGAGTATTCAAGATCTTCTCTGTTGAAACTGCTTAAGACAAGAACCCCTTACAATCTGTAATGTCTGTCAAAATCTGCAGTGAGCACAGAGAAACTTTCCACTGTCAGCAGATGATAGGAAAACATCCTCCTACTGTCAGACTCTGCACATACATCATTCAGACAGCACGCTGTAGGAACAGGAAGAAACACTGATTTTTTTAGTTGGAGGCGGACTTTAAAATAACCTAAAATAACCATGGCTGTGTGTTTCTCACCTTTAAAATGTCAATGGGTGACAGCAGGATTCTTGCTACATCTAAGGCCACATTCCCTTGTCCCAGAATGACTGCTGTTTCACAACTCAGGTCTGGACTCAGCTAAATAGAAAAGATAACAAAGTGAAACTGATGATAAGGAAGCAGCATGCAGAGTAAAAGGACCGGAGAAACATGTTTGTGAGTTTTTAACATTCTTTTGGTTTACCGGAAACATTGCCCAGGTTTATTGTGAATTAAATTAAATACACAGAGTGTAAGGCATACCTCTTGACAGCTGGGCAGCCCATTATACCAGCCCACGAAGTCTTTGGCAGAGTACACACCGGCCAGGTCTTCTCCCGGCACCCCCATACTCCTGTTTCCCTCTGCTCCATAACTCTATCATGAAATATACAAAGAAACAACACATAAAGATGCTTGTGCACACACACATCAACGTTTATGTAAAGGTGATTTTACTGTGCGGGCACAGCAGTGTGTTGTCATGTTCTCACCAGTACCACTGCATGGTAGGCTTGCTGCAGCTCTGCAACGCTCACATCCTTTCCCACAGTCACGTTACCATAGAAGCTACAGCATGTATGTTTGGCTGTCTGTGTGAATGTGTTGATGACGTTCTGAGGAGAGGAAAAGATTTTATTAATTATAGATAATTAATAGATAATTATTTAAACTGAAATATTAAAAAGAGTTTTTTTTATTACTGATTTGTGTGTGTGTGTGTGCGTCAGAGCATTTAGACAGTTTGAAACAATCTTATTTTGATCTATAATGTCTACTTAAATGTCACTTTTTGTTTTACTTTGAACTTAATTATGTCATTATACAAGAACACATTACTAAATGGAAGATTTACTTCACTGCTCACTGCTCTGTTGTCATTGTGATACTTTCGCTATCTGAAGGAGAAACTGTGGGAAAACAGGTGTCTGTATTCACCTGTCCTCGTTATGTAAACCAGGTGTCTCAAACATTTCACTTTTCGTTTGCCAGGTTTCTGCAGAAAGCAGTAACACACAGGAATGTCTCACTCGTTTAATATCGAGTATCTGCTGATACCCAGTCCTGATCCGATACTTAGATAATACAGTGCCCAGCCTGCGCTTCATGTACATTAAAGTCATTAAAGTCAATCTGGTGTATATGCTTGACAATGAAGTAGCTCTGCATTGCAAAAGAAACAAAATGCCTGCATGGAAACTGTTGCTTAATGGTTTTTATTTATCAATAATAACCTGTCTGGTCTTGTTGCTGTCTGGAGGGATTTTCTCTCTTAAGTGTTTGCTTCTGTGCAGCCTTTACCCGAGTTACCTGAACAAACTGTCTCTACATCTTTTGTGTGGATTACATTAATGAATAATTGTTATTGGCTTTTTGGTCGTGGGACTTTTTGCACTTGAGTGTTGTTGTGTCGGGTGGGGCTGCTCCCGCTCTCACCACAAGTAAAAACAGCTGTGTGACAGCTGATGCAAGACAAACGATCGGATTGATAAAGCTTAATTTAGCCGGTTCCGATCAGTTAAAAAATAAATAGAAATAGGAAGAGATAAACTGATTAAATTCATCGAAATTACTAGTTTTACACAAGCTTCTTGCAGTCAGTGAACACACTGTTCATTGTACTCTTTTGAATATAAAATGAAATTTCCATTAAATATATCACTTAGTCAGGGGTCGTCAGTTTACCCAACGATAGAAAAGGAGTCCCTTAAGGAATAAGGTTGGGAACCACTGGCCTACTAGGATTGCTCCCCCCTTGAGCTCTGGCACACCAATCATTGCTGGTGTAATGTAAACAGACACCAGATTTTAAAACTTCTACTGCAAAGTACAGAGATATTTATCTGGCGGTGACAGGCCTAACCAGCATTGTGTGAACTTGTTTGGCAAGGGCCGTTCATTCACATATAAAAGTCCTAACCTCCAGCTTTAAGAGATTGATTGTTCGTGCCAGGGTTTCATCACGCAGACTGGCTGGAACAAAACTTTCATCACACACTAGTAAACAGGTTTGTTTAAGGTTACGACTGAGGTTCTTCTTAACCAAAGCAAACAGCCTCCATCACAGCTAGCCTTTCAAAACCAGAGAGACCCGTTTTATACTGTAAATACCCAAATAATTCAGGATAATTATCTGTTCTCTAACACAGAGCGCTGGGCGATACACCAGACGAACCAGTATACAGGTTTTTAATTTCCTACATGACAAGAATCATTTATATGAAACAACTGCTGTACGTCATTTGTTTATGTGCAACATTTATTTATTCAAAGAGATATTTGAGAAATACTTCAAAAACAATTCAATACTTTGAGTTCAAAATATTTTGTTCTGAACAGGAAGCAATGTTAAAGTTGTTGGCATATCTTTAAGTTCTGTTTTTACTATGTTGAGTTGAGTAAAAATGGTTTTCCTTTCGGTTTCTTTCATATATAGTATCATTGTGTGGGGCCAAGAGACCCTATATTAATCTTTCACTACATACATGATGACATTAAAATATTTGTATATTCTATGTGCTCGTGACAGAAGAATAAGCCATTAAAAACCTATATAAAGGACCAGCCATGCAAAAAAAAACAATAAAAAATACAGTGATATACCATGCAACTGCCAGGATCTTAAAAATTACTGTGATACCAGTCTTTGGTCATACTGCCCAGCACTGCTAATGTGTCTTTTTAGGATTAGAGACCTTGACTTCAGGATGATCAGGGGCCACCCCGAACCTGACCAGGCCAAAGGGGACGGGTAACCGCTCGTAAATGTCCACGTCAACATCTGGACGGGCCTGGGAGGATGAAAAGGAGAGAGAGACACACAACATGTAAAATTTAATTCAATTCAAAATGACTTAAATACTTTGGTTTATTATGCTAATGTTAGCATGATAACCCAGTAAACAAAGATGGTGAACGCAGCAAACATTATAGCTGCTAAACATCGCCATGTCATTATTGTCATTGTGAGTATATTAGCATTTAGCTCAAAGCAACACAGCGTCTGAGTACAAGCTCACAGAGCTGCTAGCACAGCTGTATCCAATAAACCTGCTGAAGAGACTAAACACCATTAAAAAGAGAATTTATTAATAATAATGTATGTTAATTCAAATTAAGGAGAGGATATAAGGAAAGTGGTTAAGTCCAGGTGTTCAGTTAGAGGTGGGGTAAGTGAGTCTAATCTGTCCATCAGTGCTTCCCAAAGCCCAACGTGACATCATCAAATCAAAAATAATCAATGTACTATCACAAAAGACTAAAGAAATCAGAAAATATTCACATTTAAGAGGCTGAAATTAGAGAATTTTGACTTAAAAAATACTCAAATGGATTAATCAGTTGTCAAAATCGTTGGATGACAACTAATTAATTAACCCGATTAACCATTGCAGCTCTACTTTTGTTATATTCTGTTCTGTATGTGTTGGGTAATAAAAAAAACTCAAAGAGCCTGCTGCTTTCACAATGCATGTGGCTAGAAAGGCTAGCTGATTCTTTTAAATGATCTTATCTATGTAGATAATCAAATGTGTGCTGACACACTCTACAGAGCAGTGACCCAAAAATACTTTTACTATACTCTTTGTGCTACACAAAGCCGTCTGCAAGTTATTTCCTGCCCTACTTGTAGCAGGCCTGAGAGGGCGAGGATATGAGTGTCTATTTAAAAGGGATCAGCTGAGAGTAAACACGGTTCAACCAGAGAGGGTGGGAGGGATTATTTGTTGCGGTCCTGTAGGCAGAAACTACATGCAGCCAATATTTACCTTCACAAGCTGAAAAGTCTGAAACATAACTACCTTTAAAGCCTGGACATTTGAAACATACAATAAAGAAAGAAATGTACACTGCATTGCCACTGATACAGACTGCGAGTGTTTTCTATCTACATCAAAATAATGATAATAATAGCTGATAACTGCCAACATACTACTACTTACTGTGTTACTTCTACAATAAAACTCATTACTCATCAGGTAATGTGAAGGTATATAAAAAGGGTCTATAATAGTGGAGCAGATGTGATAAAGGAAAAAGGATCACAGGGCAATGCCGTAGTGAAAAATGAAGGTAGAAGCCATAATGGCTGTTAGGATTGGGCAATATGACGAGATATACCTTGAAACAGGGCACAGAAAGACATTGATGTACCTTGGTTTCAGGTGTTCATCATTTTATCCATTACCAGTTTGTAATTTTCAAGAAAATCTACCATATCCCGGTATATATATCATTAAGACAATACGCAATGATATTACTGTGATGGAAAAAAACATGAAATACCTTTATCAGGTGCTGCGCCGTGTAGAAACCTGCTGGACCGCTGCCAACAATGCACACCTTTGGCCTGCAAGATGAATAGGGTGCTTTCCCATGCCCATTCATACCTACAGAATCAGCAGACATTTGAAATTGTACTAAACAGTAAACACTAAAAATTCCCTCCAGACATGTATTAAGACATGTACAAATGATGTTTGGAACAATAATGTGTGCTTGATGTTTTTTCCACAAAAAGTATAATTTCCAAATTAAAAGCTTTAAAAAAAACAGCGTGTATTCCTTCTACCTCATTAGAAATTCAAGATTATTTTCTGTCTATATAATCTATCATCTTACATTTTTCTGCTGGACACATGACGTGTCCAACTTCACTGGTTTTCAAACTGGGGTCGGGGGATAAACAGGGGTGATTGAATGGGTTGTAGGGGCTACTCAGAACAAGGAAAGAAATAGGGTTGGTCATTTTTATTGATTATAATTTATACTGACAACTGTTTTATCATTAATTCACTATGAGGACTCTTGAAACCCCCAAAAATACACAGAGGGGATTCTTTAAGACGATATCATCTCAGATTTGGGGTTTGGGAACCCCTGTCCTACTTCACTGTAAAGTCCATTCTCAGTGTAGCTGCGATGTATCACACCTGTATAAGACCAGGATCAGCTTCAACATTGTTTGTGATGTGACAAACCGTGCTTGTAGGCCTCGCCCCTTACACCAGACTTTCAATGAGCACAGAGAAACTTTCCACTGTGAATGTGAAAACATCCTTCTAGTGTCAGACTCTGCACATACAGCATTTAAACAGCACACTGTAGGAACAAGGAGAAACACTTAAGTTTTGACTGAAGGGGGGGCTTTAATAAATCCTCTTATTGAGGCACTGCAATATAATTCTCCTGGAATGAGCAGTTCACAAACAACCAGGGCAAAGGTTATCACTGTTCATAACGCTGTTACTACTATCCACTATGGCGTGTTTCTACGAAAGATAAAAGGCATAAAGTTGTGCAAGATTAGATTTGCTGATATATAAGTGCTGATACATACATTGGGTATATGCCGAATTGCTAAGAGAAGTCACACTGTTAAAGGTTTTAAGTATATTCAAGTTAGTATGTAGCTTTGTCGAAAGGCAACTTAGACAAATAATAATTGACACAATTTTGTACAGGGTTTGGCGTGTGTTGCCTCCATACAGGAATCCGTACTAGAGCTACATACTGTACTTAAGCATAAATACAATTACAGAGTGCCTCACCACCAAGAAGCCGACTAATCCATCTACTTCTCCCCGAAGTCCACAAGCTCAGGCCGGACAACAGCAGTTTATGGCCGATCATCCTCTCCCCTGGCTGCAGACGAGCTGTCTGGTTGAAACCAACAGGAGCTTTGGACAGTGAGCAGGAGGACTGAGAGCAAAAGCCAAGGTGAAAACCTCTTTTCTCTTTCCCTGGAAACCTTTCACAGGCTTCGTGTTCTCAGCGTAGCTAACTGAGGCTAACAGTTAGCTACGCTGGCGCATTTTGACGCGCATTTAATTAAATATACAAGTATTATTAACTTTATCACATAGATACAGTATTATCATCATAACTCAACTGTTTTCAAGGCTGCACATTTGTGTTACACCCACAAAGGTCCGTGCAGCAACGTAGTTCAGTACGTGGGTTCCACATGAGGAACACGTACATCTGTAGATACACACAGTGCAGGAACTGCCATTACTCACAGCTTCATTTACAGGATGTACCAAATAAGTATCTTCCTGTCTTTCTGTGTGAATTCATTTGTCGTGTCATAGAAATATGAAGTGAATGCTGTTTTTGTTTTTGTTTTGTTAGTATTAGTATTTTAAGACAACACTTGAACAAATGAACAGCAACATTGAAAGAAGCTTGGATTTAATGTATGTACATATGAAAAGAGAGGAAACAGTGGGATACGCATTCTGCAGAAGGTCAAGACCACATGTAACGTTACACATACAGTAGAACAACAAAAGTGCTCGCTCTGCAGTTCTTCACCGGCACTGTTCACATGCACCATCACACCTGTACACCACACATGAGCCAGGATGTGGTAACTCAACAAAACACAAAATTGTATAAAAAGGAAATGAAGAAGAGAGCAAAAAAGTGAGACTCCTTGCCTGGGGTTAAGCTGCTGACTCAAAACACATCTGAATTATCTATCACAGTTCCACACATTTTTTGGCAAAGTCAACACTGATTTTTTCTTTTTTTAATCATCATCACATCGACTCTTCGCATTAGAGGATGCCCCTGAAGTCCAAAGTATTTATAGAAGTGACTAAGTAGGGATGGTGCTCAGGACACTGAGGACAGACACGGGGAGGTCTGGGAGGTCTGGGTGGACTCGTAACTCTGGCAGGCCTGAATTGCTTCTTAAACTGTAGATACAGAAGAGAACATATTAACACCATGGCGCTGTCTTTGCGTGATAATGAGAGCAGGTCCATCTGCTTCCGGTAGCACTTACTCTGCATCTCAGGACCAGTGCTCCGATGACGAGGGACAATATGACAGTGAATGCTATCACACTCGAGGCAATCAAGACGAGATCCCAAATGGGGGTCTGGCATTGTTCCTGGGGACCTCGCTCTGTGAGGAGAAATGGAAGAAATAAAGTTAAACCTGTGACAAAAAGTTAATCAAAGGCTTTTTAAAAAAAAATATGACTGGACCGTGCATGTTTGAACTCAAAGGACGGGTTTGGTTCTTTCCACCTGTGACGATGATAATGGTGCCATTGCTGGACAGGGTTTGTTGCTCTGCCGTCTCTGATTTGAAGGTTTCCCAGGTGCAGTAATACCAGTTGGTGTCGTCCAGCGCCAGCAGAGACAGCTGCACGGTGAATCTTTTGCCCTCCTCGATCTTCCCGTAAGCAATGTGAACTCTGTCTGTAAATTCTGAAGCTATAGTACGCCTGTTGATTTTTCCCTCGACCAAGCTCAGGTATATAATGTCCATGTTGCTTTGCACACCCCTGCGCAGGTAGAGCCCCATCGGGTCAGACAACGATGTGGAGCATGTGATCTCAGCAGATGAGTTGACTCTCATTAGAGAGATGGACGTGGGTTCTTGAGAAACTGTCAAGGAGAGATGGATTGTTACCTGAAGTCTTTGTCTATTTGCAGGTCATAATGTCAGTGAAAACTTTCAAAAAGTTATTCGTAGTGATCAATTCAAACGCCAATGTTAAAGGGAATTCGTAAAAAGAAATATATGGTTTTAGAGAGTGGTGGAAAGTAAATAAAATAAAGTAGAAGGGAAGTATTGCACTTTTTACTCTAGTACACGTATCAGACAGTTACAGTAGGTAACTTGTCATATCGGCTGAAATCTGTGAAATCCAGCGCTTTACAAAAACAGTAAGAGCCGAGAAAGATGATTGTCAAGTCTCATTTGTCAAATTCATCAAATACTAACACTGGGGGTACCGGTGGATTCTTGCCAACGCCATTAAGAGGTAGAGGATTTTTTTCACGCATCATCTGTCCGATGTACTACTGTCAGGATATAGTGAAAGCTTAAGCAAATATGGGAAAAAATAATTTTGATAAAAGTTACCTGCTGCAGCTTTAATAGTTTTATATCCAGATTTTACCTAAAAAAACACGATATGTTCTTACAGATGAAACCGCCGGTTCCCAGCGTTTCAGATGTCTATGGGTTGTAACCACTTTTGCCAAAGTCTTCTCATGTGGTTTCATTTAAATAAATTTTTTTGGGCGCCCAAAGAAGTCAAATTACTCCACATTTTACAAAGACAAATCCGTGTAGCAGAACCTGCTCCATTAATCATCCCCTCAGATTTCTCTCGGGACCCACTTTAATGTATCGGTCACCTCAGCTATTTCCTACATTTTGATAGTGAAACTACTTTTAATTAAGTAGGATTTTGAAGTATTTTTGCTTGTAATTCATTGCTTCATTGGTACTTTTACGTACATTTTCACTTCTGCATGTAGAGACACAGAAGGCAAACAGGAAAAGATGACTCAGGCTCACGTTTGAAGACAACTTCATATTTTTGGATCTTAAACCCAAACCTTTCCATCTTTTGCACATATTACTCACTCTCTCGCTCTCTCTCACACACACTCACCTGTCCAGGGGCTGAGTATTACCCCAGCAGGCATGTACAGTAATCCCAACACACAGCTCCACCAGTGGGCTTTCATCCCGTGAGCTGGGCTGCAGGCAGGCTACCACAGACTCAGCCCAAGGCGCCTCAGTCTGACTGACTGACAGACTGTCACAAGCACTTAAAAGGGGACGTGAGATGTACAAAGGAAGTGTGACACTTGTTGCTTGTTTATCAGCTGTGTGGCTGCCGTGCTGCATCAGATCAAAGACTCGTAAGTGCTTGGTAGTGACAACCCTTTATTCAAAGATATGTTCCATTGCTCATGGCTCAGTTAGTCATAATCTACACACCCGGTATATTCTGCATATTATATCAAACACTCATTTTACAGTCAACAATATCACAGTTACTTTCTACTTTTTTTTGTAGAATACGTTGAGTGGCTTTGAAAGGCCTTTTACTGCACACCCATAAAGTTGTAGACTTGTTAGTAGCAAATTCAAAAAAGTGATAAAAATCAGCAGGTCTCTTTATCCTACATTTCCCACAATGCAACTCAATAGTGTCTTTTACTAGTCTTCCGCTACTTGATAAATGCCCATGTTTCAAAGGTTATGATGATTGCAGTTTCTTGTCGTCTCCAAGTCTCAGTTTAAAGACCTGGATCAGTGTTCCTCAAACGGGGGTATGCGTACCCCTATAGGCGTACTGCAGGGGGTGCGTGAGATTTTCTTTTTCTTTATGTTCATTTAAAAAATATTAGTCATGCAAAATTCTCAAAATAATGATACTAGAATAAGTTTAATAAAAATGTAAATCTATGTTCGTTAGATTTTATATTCAAAAAGAGTTTGATCTCTGGTTGCGCTGTATTATACCTCTTTTTGCACTGGTGAGGGGGTACTGGGCTGAAAAAAATATTTCAAATAGGGTACGTTAATGAAAAAGTTTGAGAACCACTGAGCTACGTAAACAAACATCAGTGAGAAGTTTAATTATTTCGATGTAGTTATTCTTAATACCTGCCACTGGGTCGGATTCAGTTGGATTCCCACTGGAAGGAAATCAGTGAAACAAGGCGGTAGAAACACTATCACTTATGTCCACAGGGGCCGCAAGATTCCCCACAAAATGAAAGCTCCTGGTTGCTGCTTTAAAGGGTAACTACGTCGATTTTACACATCAGAGTTACAAGTTTGAAAATGAAAATAATCTGAGGGCGTGGAGTTTGAAAGGAGTAAGCTTAGCAGACCTCTGTAGCCCACTCCTCATCCTGCCACAGACTAGAGGCTACACTGTGTGCACTACTGTGTGCGGTTGAGTTGCATTGTGGGTTGCCAAGTTTTGACATGGAAGACGTATGTGTGGAATGAGGTGGGGTGATATCTCTGGTTCTGTTGCATCAATTGTTATATTAAAAAAAGAAAACAAAAAAAAAAAAACGGCCCACTGTGAGTCTGACAATGTTAAAGGATTGTTGGAATTAAGAGAGCTGCCCTCAGAGCCACAGAAGACTTTATACAACAGTTTTCACAAATGGAGTAGTACTCTTCAACCAGACCAAATCATCATATTCACATTTATCAATATGTACAAAGATGAAGAAAAAAAAAAGAACCCAGCCAGCTGTGGAGAGGAATAACTGAACAGATGCTTAAACAAAAATTTCAGAGCTCGTCGAGTACTCCGGTGTGAGGGGTCTGTGAGATTTTCCCGTTTTGATGGTTCTGATTATGTTTTTGCATCTCTTAGTTCCAACCATACACAAAATGCCAAAAACAACCATGGGGATGAAAACACTCAATATGGCGGTTGTCACAAGAATTTTGGAAGGCTCCTCAGTTCCGGGCTTAGGCTTTGTTGCTGATCTCACATTATCTGGTAAGATAAAATGTATGTTAGACTTTCAATTTGTAGAAATGGATAATAATGGTGCACACATACACTCTTGTAGTTTAGGAGTGGAAACTACTTACCAGGCAGTACTTTGATAGATGAGCTATCCCCACCACAGTTTGTGATTATAAAAACACTGTAAGTTTCCTCTTTCGAAACATTCCAGATGGTCAGTGACACATAGGTCCGATTATCCGATTTACAGGTGTATGTTGAGTTAGAATCCAGTCCACCGTGTGCGTTATTCCAGGAATAATTAACGAGATCACAGTCCTCTGTCAACTCATTGTATATAGTGCAGTTTAGTGTCACCGTTTCTCCAGCTTCAGCTACCACTGTTTGGTTGCACTTCAGTGACACTCCTGAATTTAAAAAAAGAGAAAAAATTATATTACTTACTTTTTTGACTTCATAATGTACAGTAGTTATATTTATTTTTAGTACAAGCCAGGTAATAAAATACCTTTCTGCAATGTACTTTGTGGAAAAGAAGCAGCGTAGAGCAGACTCAAACACATCCACAGGCAGGACATCCTGAAGCTTCCACAGTGTCAGAAACTGGAGGGAGGAAACAAACATATGAAGAACGGTATCAGGACTGTCCCTTTATCTTTCACAGCGACAGTAGGACTTATTCAGATTGTTTGCCAGGCACAAATCGCTGATGGAGTGAGGGGGTTTTAGGTTGGTAGTTAGTCGTCTGTCTGAGCCCCTCCCGGACAGAACCAGAGTCGCTGGCTGAGAACTGTTTCTCAGAGCATCGTCGTTTAGCTTCTCTCTCACCGCACTTTGAGTTCTGGCTGTGAACCAGGGTTTAAACCTGTTATAACTGAATAACTTTTTTGTTGGTAACTTTTCCAGAGGTTTTTCTGTACTGCCAATATCCTTTGTTTCTGTTGAAAGTATTTTTTGATTAACTTTTTACATCATACAAAATTTTATTTTTAGTTTAATATATTTTAACAAAATCCACTCCCAAAAAAACCCTATTGCACCATTACAGAGTTACAATAAGACATATCTAAAATCACAATTGTAAATATATATAGCTACTAGTAAATATTCTGCTTAAAAATGTACATTCAAAACATATAAAAATGATTGTTATAGATCAAACCAGTGATTTCCAACCAGAGGTACTGACAGGGGATATGTGGAAAGATTGTGGGGTAGCTCAACTCATTTAAAAAAAAAAATATATATATATATATGATTTGATAAAAGAAACATAATCACGTTTGTGTTTAGGAAAAGAAAACACACTTTTACTCATTAAGTAAAACATACACATTAAGTCCAACTAATTGCAGCCTCTCAGCAAACTCTGCATATTAACCTTATTTGGATCAGTGGTCAGATAAAAGCACGATTGAGCTTCTGAGTGAATGATTACGCACCTCAAGTGCAGAAAGGCAAACAGACACAGCCTTACACACACTCTTGAATAAACATTCACACACAGAGAGCTACTTACCCCGAAGAGCTTGATAAATTATAGAGCTTCTGTCTGATGTGAACATCGGTGAATGACTCCAGAAAAACACAAGATGCCTTTTAAAGATCCACCTGCCAACCCACGCACTACACCTGGAGGGTATTTCCACTTGCTAGGGACAAACAATGAAAGAGATCGACACTCAGAGGTAGGAAAAAAGGAAAAGTCAGAGAGAGTGAAAGGGAGGGAGGTAGGAGGAGAAAATGTTGTTGCAAATGGGGCAAAAGGTTAAATATGAGTTTGAGTGCATATAGCCCCTCATAAAAATGTAATGTAATTTTCAGTAATCATTTATTCAGGTGAGTTCAGAGCGTTGGGAGCAAATACTATGATATGTTAATATGACTCTTCTTGTTGGCAGTGTGTGCCCTGTCAAATATGCCTTTTGTTTTCTTTTGCTCAGTAACAGTTGGTACTGGGGTTAGTGCTTTTCCCCCAATGCAACAAAAACATCTTCAGCTCGGATGAGGAGGGGGGTTTCAGATGAGAGTTAAGCAGCAGGTAAACTCCATGAACAAGGACATATGGATCTTGAGTAGAGCTGAGAGAGAATGTACATGTGTATTAATCTCAAAACCAAAGCTCAATTTGAATGAGCAAATTAGCTGCCATAGCTAATGTTTTCAGTCAGAGGGATTTTCTTGCTAAAGCCACCCAGCTCAATTTGTGTATTGATTAAAACCATTATTAGGCATTAGAGCTTGTACTGATTAGACTGATCACATGGTGTCTGATGGGAAATATTAATAAAAAACCGTGCAGAACAGAGCAGCCAGATTGATTCTTCTTTATTCTTTCCTTGATAACACAATGCATCAGCGACTATCATGGATAACCGTGGCGGTTCAATCAAAATCTACTCTTCTGTTATTCATGCCAAATATCCTTCGGAATAATACACCCAGTCTTTGGTGAAAATGTGTATTTTTGTCATAGGTATAATACAGGACAGTGAGCACTGCTCATCCGGTGGGATCACGTCTACAAACAAGTTGGTACAGGCCTCTGTAGAGTTGCTCTGTACATGCATTTTTCACTGGAAATGTCTGGAAAGTCTTCATTTAGTATCTTTGGCCATCTAGCAGCCTCAAGGTGAATCATACTCCAGGAACTCAACGCTCGCTGCTGCCGTTGGCCCAAAACAACAAAACGCACCTCCCTGACCACGACAACAATGAATTACATTCCTTTCTTCAGATTTAAAAACTGGAAACTGGAGGTGTTGGTAGGGAAAGTTTAGAATTTCTGGCACAACCGGATGAGCTGTTTGCACCTTTCTCCAGTGTTGCACAAGTTGTTTTTAATGCTTTGTGTGGACTCCAGCAACACCAACCACTCTGTGGAAGCTAACGGGGATCAAAACAAATAAACATTGTTTTTACATTCATTGATTTAGTTCTGTATGTTATCAGAAGATAGTCAAATAAAGGCCAATTTAAATTTCCAACAATCTAAGGCGACGTCCTCAAATTGCTTGATTTGTCCGACCAGCAATCCAAAATCCAATGATATTCCATTCCCAGTGATATAAGCAGCACAGGCTTTACATTTGAGAAGCAGGGACTGGCATCTTTACACCATAAATCATTTCAGCAGTTTGATTAAATTAGACTTTAATTTTGCATCAATAAATTAACTGTACTATGGTTTGCACACTGTACACATGAAACACTTTTAAAAAGGTTTCACTCAAATGAAAAAAACAAAAAACATATGTATGTCGTCATGTGAGCAGTTCTGCTTAAATTCCCTAAGATTTTGGGATATCACAATGAAGTTTCATCAGTGGAGCTCACGGCATTGGACAATCCACAGAGCTCCGTTTGACATGTTAGAGTTTTAACATTAAAAACTGTTTTGTGGATTAGCAGTAGCACACGTTTCCAAAAGTTCTGCCTCTGTTCATGAACGACACACACGACGTTGAAATGAGACAACACTTCATTTGTCAGAAGATTTTAGTGCTTCATTAACATGTTTGTTTGATCTCGTAAAACAAAGAAGGAAGAACAACATATAACTTAAAAGGACGAGCTTGTGGAATGGGAACAAAGTGATAATACAAATGAAATCATCTTGTACCATTTAAAAAATAATGACTCTTGATTCTTCACAGGGACGGATCAACCAAACACTGGGCTGATAGTTACACATAAGCAAACACTGTGGGGTTATTAAAAGACTTTGAACCTTGAATCATACAGCAGCAGCCTCACTTTCCATGGACTAGGACGGCTGAGATTAGACGGTCGCGCTGTTGCATAGTTATCAATGTGTTTGAGATCAAACGGTCTTGTCTTTCAGGGAGGAACAGTGGAGACAACCTTTAACACAAAGGAAAACATCAGGTTTCATACTGGACAGGTTATATTGGACTCCTTAACATTCAGCATCTGCATGTTCCCTTCATGAGCTCCAGTTGTTATACGTTTTCTCAGTGGCTTATTGCTCTGTAAATGCACATAAATAGTTCAGGTAGTTTGCTACAGACTTCCTGTAATGTTCCCTTTATCTGCAGCCGAATGACATCACTGCCTCAGTCTGCATACGATGATAATAAAGTGTGTGTTTCTGCACTCTGGACCTTCGTTTGTCCTCAGGGCTCAGGTTTGGCACACAAGTTGTAAATACAGACATCGCCCCCCTGTGGCCAAATTGAAGAATTGCTGCGGTCCTTCATGGTGCCAGCATGATCGATGAGACGGTCCAAGCAGAATCAGATTAAATGCAAGAGGCGGCAAGCACTCAGCTTCCATCATGTCCTTTTTCTCCTCACCACTGCATGTGTGGGGGCTGCGTGTGGCTCTGAGTCTGATTCCTGTACTGGGTGTGCAGGAGCGTGCTGGCCTGCGAGGAGTCCTGGCCCTGCAGCCAGTCTTGATAGAGGGTGTGCAGGGCGGGGTTGACCTCCGGGAGACGGACTGGCAGGCTGCTGTACGCCTCCTCCATCTGCTGGACTAGGGCTTTATCCACCCGGCCTCCCGCCTCGCTCTCCGCCTGCCCGCGACCGCTCAAGCATCCTGAGTGGACACAAATCAGAGACACAAAAAAAAAAAAAGGGCTTACACCAGCAGGTCCTTTCACGTTAAGTCTCCAGGACTGGCGGGATTTAACTTTGAAACAATCAGTATCTTTAAAAACGTGTTGGTTGTGGTGGTGTTACCTCCTGGGCAGGAAAGCACCTCCACCAGCTGGTAAGGCACCCGCCCCTTTCTCATCCGGTGAACCAGAGTCTGGATGTTCCTGAAACCGTAGACGGCAGCGAACTGCAGCAGAGTCTCCCCATCCCGCTCCAGAGTTACTTCCTGGAAGTCTCGGTTCCTAAAGAAACCAACATGACACACAGGGGGAGAGTTTTCACGCTGGACCAACAGAGATACATGAGGATAGACAGAGCTGGGAGCTACGGTGTATTCCACCAGAGTAAGTCTCAGGGTCCCACTGTGCCTCACCTGAGGTTCTTGTATGTGATCTCATGGACGTCCAGGCCGAAGAGCTCTTTGGCTGCATGTTTGAAGAGGTGTTCCAGGAAGCCTTCAGAACCTCGGCCCTCGTGCCTCACCAGCGCCACGTCTCCGGCCTCGCCCAGCCTGCAGTGACAGCACAGCACCACGACTGACAACGACTTCCATACCAACTCAGTGAAAATATACAATTGTAAGTTGGATGCTATTATAAACAACAAGTAAGGTGGACGGACAATAACATTTCTAGTTGTGAAGACAGACCATGCAGACATGTGACAAGTAAACGTCTCACATTTACCCTCAGGAGTTTGAGCCTTTTTGATAAGGGTACTTGGAACACAAGCAGAGCAATTTAATTCTCACTGGAACAAGTTGCCTTGCCCGATTTTTAATGAATAAAATAAAGAAATAGGAAGTAGTTTTACAATTTTCATTGCAAAGAAAAAGTACCATTACCATTTAAAGCTGCTATTAAGTCAGGCATTTTAGGCCCACAACAAGCCCAAAAAAAGCCTGTGCAATCCTGGAGGGACTGATATGATATTTGTATTTGTGCCATACACTCCTTGCAGAATAGCACAGGACCTGTCACAACACCACTGATCTGTGTGGAAAGTATAATAGCTGCTGAGTCACATTTCTTGAACGTTTAAACAAACTATCACTGAAGTTGATACTGCATGACAGTAATATTAATAAAAGTCAAGCTAAAGGTTCAAATGTTTAATCTCTCACCAAAAATGAATGATAGGATGACAACTAGTCCAACTACTCACACATGGTCCAGTGGAACTGAGTCCAGCTCCTCCACTGAAACCTTCCTCTGCTCCATCAGGCAATAGATCTCCCCTGAAACACACAACAGTTCCACTGTTATCTACTGAGATCTACCAAGACTGTGGTAGGCGCTACTGAGACCCAAACAATATTGGTCTTTGTGCCTGATAAGCAGGATCTGTGTGATCACTTGTGTGTTATGTATGTCGATACTGTTGATCCAATCAAATGCAAAATGCGATAACAAAGGTAGTTTAAAACACACAACTTGTGGATAATTCTGTATTGTAGCAGTTGCCTGATATCAGATAATCAGTACACTCGGTGGAGTGGGCAGATTTGAAAATCTGAACCACATATGACTGGGAACTGAAGCAGATTTCTCAGCAGCAGATGTGGCTTCACCACAGATAAAAGCAAATGTAACGAGGAAGCAAAACCAGACCAGGATGCTTGCTTTGAGGTGCATTGTGGTGCCAGGTGTGAGCTGCTGTCTGTCTCAAATGGATCTTGACACAAACAGATGGGTCTCAGAATAACAGGGGATGTGGACACATTTGTATTTAGCTATTTATGGCTTGTATGTGTTGTTGGGGTTTGGATCTCCCATATGCTTTTAAATAGCAGAGACTGCTATATGAGAAAAAGAAACTGTGAAGGTTTGATGATAACTGGTCATTTAAGATAATATAATGATAGAATGTATTGTATTAATGTATATTACTGTATATAAACATCAGGAGTCTCAGAGACACCAAACCTCATAATAGTAATACAAGCTGTATTTAACATAACCTAAAGGTCCAAACAAACATTTTGAAATGCCATTTGTCCCAGGGCAACAGTGGGTAAGAAACAGAAAAGTGAACCTGAGGTGAGGACACAGTCCACATCTCTGGTCTCTAGCAGGCTGTTGTAAAACTCCTCTCTGACAGCCTCCAGTTTTTTATCAAAGCAGGGAGCCACCAACACGTGGTAGACTTTCTCTGGACTCAGCTTCTGCCGGGAGACAAGGAAAAGGGACAAACATCATAAGAAGACAGATTCCTCCTTATACAGAAGCATGTGTGAAGCGACAACGCTGAAGGCTCAAGAGTGAGCTTAGAGTGCCTTAGTCTTCTTTTCACTTCAGATCTCAATACCCGACCATCTGTTCCATTAGCACATTAACATAATGGATAGTCATAACAGTGCATTCATTGGGTGCTGTGTTTTGAATATTCCACTGACATTGTTCAGCTTTCAGTGGATTACCGCCTGCCAAGGCCAACTGACAAACACATCTCACTGTCTTTATTGAGTTAACGTCTGAATAGGACAGCTACGCCTCTATGCTAACCAGAACACCGAATGATTCAACCCGAGGGTACAGCAGTAAGGATACCCCCAATCCATCTCAACAAACTGTGTCAATCTGATCTTTTGTTTTGGTCACACAGCTGTTTGTACTCATGCACGGTGCAGCCATCATTTCTTTCCTCCACTCTGCTCTGTGTGTGAGTGAATGAGAGCAGGAGCAGCCCCGCCCGCTGCAGAGTTTCACCGCGGGCTGGGCTGCCTCTGCTCGCAAACAAAAAGCCAGTACGAGTAATTCATTAAAATGGAATCCGTGCAAAGGATGTGGAGACGACGGAAATAAACACTCAGCAAAATACAGGTCAGGTAAACGCTGCAGTGAAGCACCAAATACTGGAGAGACAAACTCCCTCCAGACAGCAACAAAAAAAGAGATTAAAAAAAGAAGATTATAGAGGGTTTGTTATCTTAAACTTTATTGTGCAAAAAACAAAGAAACACATTTTGTTTCTTAGTGCAATGCAGAGCTATTTATTTGTCAAGCATATACACTGGATTGATTTGAATGACTACTGTACATGAAGTGTGCACCGTCTAAAAGAAAATACAGGTATTGGATCGGGACTCGCTATCGGCACACACTCAATATTAAATGACTCGGATGGGATCTTATTTTAAGTGCGATTGAACTCCCTTCAGATTTCTGTTCTGGGTCTGAGTGATGAACTGAAACCGTTACCGATGTAACTACAATAACATATTTGTCTTTCTATCTCATTCTTTTATTTGCCCTACCTTCTTAATCTGTTACCTCCAGCTTTTACCAATACTGCAACTCAGAGCACACAATCAGCACTAACCACCAGCCAAATACTGGTAAAATATGCAAGTGGCTTGTGGATTTGCTCCCAAAAAAACTCCCAATGGTTATCTATTGAGTGGCTGGCAGTATGTGAACCTTCACTAACCATTTGGCTGGTGGACAATACATTCATTTTGCATCCTGCTGCCACTGTGTGCATGGTTGTTGTCAGTGATAGGCGGCATCACCGACAAACTGGATGACTGTTCTGACAGGGGATGCTCACCTGCTGTTTAGAGAAGTAGTCTTTGACCAGACAGCCCATGATCTGCTGAGGAGACCTGGCAGTGCAGATATGAGGGGTGACCAAACTGCCCAGAACACGCTCTGAATAGCGGATCCACCCTGTACACGCACACACACACACACACAGAGTTAAAATAACCCTTGACCCTCTGCACTCCAGAATCAGATGTTTTCATTGATAGAAAAAAAAAACATGACGACAAGTATACAGACATTATAAATGGTGATGGAGCTGTCCCAGGTTTAACGTTCAAAGCTTTATTACTTTATATGACTTTATTCCTTCCTGATTGGCTAATATTACTGAATGAACAGTCTGGTTTCCACAACCATTGGGCTAAAAATCAACAAGCAATCATTTAGAGCTGCAACGATTGGTTGTGATGATCAATTAATCGTCAGGTCATTTATTAAGCAAACCCGCCGACATTTTTCAGCTTCCAGCTTCACAATTGTGAGAATTGACTGCTTTCCTCATCATTATAAATGTTCCATTTCTTTGGGTTTTGGACTGTTAGTCGGGCAAAACCAGACATTTTAAGATGTCACCTTTGGCTCTGGAAAAATGTGATGAACAGTTTTCTGACATATGCGTCCATACAATAATTATCCAAACTTTTTAATCACACCCCACTTCACCCAGCAAGTTCCTTTTCTGGGGCTGAGCAAAGCCACACATTACCAGTGGCAATCCTTCAGACTGAACGAATGCAAGTGTGAAGTTTGTTCCATTGAGGAAAATGAAAGTCCTTAACTCTTGCTGTTCCTATCTCTGATGGAGGGAGTGGTGAGAGAAGAGCTTTCTATCTTTCTCCACCAGCACACCACTGCTATCTCCAACTCTACAACAAGCTCAGTCTCCCCATATTCAGCACACAGCATGCATTAACGGTCTGTGCAGTCAGGAGGCTGAGCAGCAGCAGAAGAAAGAGGCAAAAAAAGATGGAAATTGAGGCCAATGAAAGGTTCAGTTGGAAAGAAAATCAGCCCGACAGGAGGGGAATATAAAAAAGTGAAGTGAGGTAGAGGAGAATATGGTGAGGAAGAAAACAGTTTTACCTGGGCAGGAGGAGGTGAACATGGGCATGGCGTGGGTGTCATGGTGCCTCCTTCGGTACCTCTGAATAAACTCCTTCTGACTCTCTAAGATGCTGAAGCCTGCCGCCAGAGTGGTGTCGAACACATACTGCACTCCTGCAGGGAAAACCCAGAGAGATGAGAACAGGGACAGGAAACAGGGAGCGCCCCCCAGAAGAGGAGAATGTCGAGCGCCCATGATAGATACAGACGAGTCGGTGGAAGTTTCTACACACCAGTTATAAAGAAATGTCTCAGGAAGCTAAATGTCTGACACTTTAATGCTTTTTTAAAATGCAAAGTGGCAATTACAACTTGAAATAAAAAAACAAAAAGCTGTAAATTTCAGCCTGTGAAACCGATAACATTACGGAGGCACAAAATGTAAAAGAACAATGTAGTAAATTTAACTGTTTAGTGACATCCCAAATCTGATCAGGGTAAACATTACAGTGGACATGCAGATAAATAAATCACTGTTTTCAAAATGTAACAAGACCTCAAATATATTCTAAATAACTAACAGCTAAACAAAAACATTTGAATCCTGCTTGCTCACCTAAACTCTTGAGGAAGCCACAGAGCTTGTGGGCGGCCTCAGTGACGTCCAGACCAAACTTGACGGCAAAGAAAGGCAGAGACTGCGGACAAAGGGACGCTACCAGCACCTTGTGCTTCGACACGTCACACTTCTGACAGAGGAACAATGGGAGCAATGTAAGACACATGTACAGTTCAAAAGTGTTACAAGGAAACTCCCTGACTTTCTCAGGTTTCAGAGGCTGGTTGTTGTGTGCGTGTCGTACCTTATTGAGTGCCAGAACCCGCTCCACTTCCTGCAGGCTCTGCTGAGAGATCTTCAAGCTCTCCTCCTCTGTTAGGCAGCCATCACAAGACAGACAGGCGCTCAGCAGCAACTGGGATCCTTCATGCACCTT